ACCGTTAATTTCCGCGTAAGGCCAGTCTCATCGATGCTGACATCATCAGCGTGAATGCCCTGCTTTGTCTCTCCGCCAAGGCAGATGGCAGACTTTGTGAATCAAACAGTTCGCCAGGAGCGATTCGCTAGCGTCCGCGGTCGCGTTGCGGTACCAGCCAATTGAGTGATTCGCTGGCCGCGACGCGACCGCAGACGCTAGCGAATCGCTGATTCGCAAAGTCTGACATCGGCCTCGAACGGCTAGAGTCTTACGGTCAGTGATCCGTAGATGGTAACCAATTGGTGCGCGTGGGCAGCCGCAAAGAGAATTCACCTTTGCAGCTAATTAAGCCCCTATTGGTCTGTTATGGGCACATACTTCGCAGTAAAACGTGTCTCGGTTCCACTTTTTCGAGGAACCTGCCTCTACAGTAAATGCGACCACTTCGTCGATCTCCAGTTCATCGTACCCCCTGCCTTTGAGACCGAAGTTAAAGATCCTTTCCTGTCAAGAAGATCCTTTTTTATTAACGAAGTTTTTGACATTGATTGACTGCAGCTACTTAACACATAACGAACAGCTACAAAAAGTGGAAGAGCTCAGTTCTCTGTAACTTCCTTTTTCAGTAAAATCTCCACGGCTCTGCGGTCTATCCAGTACCTGTCATATGATCAAGTGACGTTGGCTATGCTTTCGCCGGCCATTAGCAAGATGAAGACGACGGTAGGTTGTATGATAGCACATTGTGTTACTAGCTACTAGCTGTTCAATGTGTTGTAGAATTTGACAGCTAAAGCGAATTGCCGTCAGGACAAAACTTGAGACTTCAAGTGCTCCCGCGAAAATCTCGTCAAATAGGGAGTGGGGTGGGATATTACAGAGGTAGTGGAAAAATCCCAAATTCACATGGAGAAAAATGCGCATCCTTCTTCTGGAAACAAACCTTTGACATCGACCCCTTACTGGAAGAAGGTAAAATTCGATGCTGCTTACATCGAGGTTTTCCCAGCAGGTGCTTGACTCTCAGCACCTAGAGAAACCGCATCGCTCCTTCATAAGTTTCCGACCTCATAAAAAGATTGGTGGTATCTGGAAACATCTAGGAACCTGGAGTATAAGCCAAACGGTGTTCGAATTCTTTGACAAAAATTAGCAGAATTGCAGAGCACGGCGCAGTCTAGATAGTCTAACCTCTCAGCTATAATGCTTCTTACTCTGAAAATCAGTTATTTACCTCCGGAATGTGTATTTTAGACCGCATCGGCGTCGTACTACTGCAAGCAGCAACCAAT